ACTGTTCTTTGCCACTAAGCCATATATCATATCACCACCATGTTACTATTTCTATAATAATTTTGATAATGGTCCTTGACTTCTAAGATCAAGTCCAAAGTCTTCAACCTTATCATGTAACTTCACATTTTTAAGCCTTACCTCCTCTCACACCTCTATATTAATTCCTGGTTTAGCCAATCTGGTCTATTTCATTAATAGCTAACAAACATATTCTATGTATTTCCCATGTCATTTCCCACTAATATTGTGCTCCTGATTTTTAGTTTTTTAATCCTCACCCAAGGATATGTTTTACTGACTTTAGAGAGAGGGGAAGGGAAAGAGAGAGAAACATCGATCTGTTGCCTCCCTGACTGGGATTGAACCGCAACCTAGGTATGTGCCCTGATCAGAAATCAAATTGGCAAGCTTTAGGTGCACGGGATGATGCTCCAACAGAGCCACACCAGCCACGGATGTGCTCCTGATTTTTTTAAAACATATTTTTATTGATTTTTTTTTTTTTTTCTGAGAGAGAAAGGGAGGGGAGAGAGGTAGAAACATTGATAACAGAGAACATCGACTGGCTGCCTCCTGCACCCCCCCTCATCAGGGATTGAGCCCCCAACCCAGGCATGTGTCCTGACCAGGAATAGAACCAGCAACCTTTCGATGCATGGGTTGACGCTCAACCACTGAGCCATAATGCTGGCCTGTGCTCTGGATTTTTTATGGTTCATATTAAACTTTACCTCTGATCCTGTTGCCCTAACTAGATATAAGAACTCTCACAGAATGTTAGAGCTGAAGGAAGATCACCTACCTCATCTGCAAAATGAACTTTAAAGAACCATTTCCTCCATCTATAAAATGAAAATGTTTGGGGAAACTGAGGCCAAAGTACAATAAAAATATGTTCCTCTCTGAACCCTAGTTTTTTCCAACATATTTTTCTTGATTGTTTCTATGTACCAGTAGCTGTGCTGCCCACATCAGAGTTTAATGATCAATAGTATATAAATCACCACACAAATAACTAAGCTTTATGAGTGCCTCAGAAAGAGGGAAGTACAGGTTGCCACTGAAGTCTGAAGTACCTGTGGCTGGGAAATGGGTGAGGCAAGAAGTTAATATAGAGGGGGAAGATGGGAAGGACTTATTCAGTTGAGGAGGAGGAGGAAAGCTTCCCTGAGGGGGAAGTCTAGGAATTAACTCTGCAAAAGGTGGAAGATTTCCACTAGAAGAAAAGCTCAGAGACAGACTCTGAAAAGACTGAAAGAAGGTCTGGGTGTTGGCATCTAAGGGATGAGGAATGTTGCAAGAGGTAAGGCTGCAAAGGCAGGAAGGCCAAGAGCGCACTCTGCATGCCTGGGAAGGTCACATTGCGGATTCCTGGGCTTTATCCTAAGAATAACATGCCTTGTTCAAGGATACTTCAAGTCTGGACCATGGCTTACCCTGGGAGGAATGAGAAAAGCAGTTATGAAATCAGAAAGAATTCTAGTGTTATTCCACTGGAAACATTTTCTGTATCCCTATCACTCTTCCTTGTGTGATCTCATCCAAAGTTAAAAAAAAAAAAAGCATATAAATTATATAGTAATTTTCGGTTAGCCCACTTGGTTTGAAAAACGATTGTGTACATATGTATATATCTGTGCACTTGTAAATATTTAAAGGAGTACTGGCCTGTTTCACATTTTTTTTTAAAGCAAAACCTTCCATACAATAACAATTGAAAAGCTCTCTTCCACTGTTTGGCCATACATTAGCACTAGACTTGAAGTTAAATGTTCATTCTTTTGCCCCTTAACATTAGACCTTAATAAGAAAAAGTATTTTAAGAGAACACCAACAAAACCTTTTGTGGGTGTGTGTGGGCTAATCCTCACCTGAGGATATTTTTACATTGATTTTTAGGAAGAGTGGAAAAGAGAAGGAAAGACAGAGAGAAACATCAATGTGAGAGAAGTACATAGGTTGGTTGCCTCCTGCATGAGCCCCGACCAGGGCCTGGGCCGGGGAGGAGCCTGCAATCCAGATATGTGCCCTTGACTGGAATTGAACCCGAGACCCTTTGGTATGCAGGCTGACGCTCTATCCACTAAACCAGCTCACTAGGACCAACAAAATCTTGTTTTTATCTTAACTGCTTTTTAGCCTCATCGTGTCTACACTAGAAATTAAAGATGCAACCACAAATTTATTTTCTATAATATTACATTTATATTAAGGATAAAATTTAAAGGTGACAAAGTTATTATTAATAAAAGAACAACTGGAATTTTGGAGCAATTTCTTTGTTCAAGTACTGTGTTGGACACTTTAAAATATATCTCATTAAGTCCAAAATATATACACTTATACCTGCACTATCCAATATGGTGGCCAGCAGCCACATGTAGTTATTGTTAGAGCACTTAAGACATGGCTGGTCTGAACTGGGATGTTCCACAATGTAAGTAACATACTGGATGTTGAAAAATTAGTATGGTTTAGCCCAGGGGTGGGCAAACTTTTTGACTCGAGGGCCACAATGGGTTCTTAAACTGGACTGAAGGGCCGGAACAAAAGCATGGATGGAGTGTTTGTGTGAACTAATATAAATTCAAAGTAAACATCATTACATAAAAGGGTACGGTCTTTTTTTTCAATAGTTTTATTCATTTCAAACGGGCCGGATCCTGCCCGCGGGCCGTAGTTTGCCCACAGCTGGTTTAGCCTGTGTCGTTCAGTGGTTGAGCACTGGCCCATGAACCAGGAGGTCACAGTTCAATTCCCGGTCAGGGTACATGCTGGGGTTGCGAGCTCAAACTTCAGTAGGAGGCGTGCAAGAGGCAGCCTATCAATCTTTATCTCTCACTGATGTTTCTATCTTTCTATCCCTCTCCCTTCTTCGAAAATAAAATAATATATATTTAAAAAAAAAACAAAAAGAAAAAATTAGTATGAAAAAGAAAGTAAAATACATCAATTTTTGAATATTGATTATATGTTGAATGATAATATATTTTATATATTTATTTTGTTAATCCTCACCCAAGAATATTTTTTCCATTGGTTTTTAGAGAGAGTCGGGGGGAGAGGTGGAGGGAGAGACATATGGACTGGTTCCCTCTCATATGTGCCCAGACTGGGCCCATTTCGAACCTGCAACCAACCCAGGTACTTGCCCTTGACCGGAATCGAACCACGCTCTAACCACTTAGAAACACCGGCCAGAACTAAATTATAATACTGTATTCTAGATACAGTGGGTTAAATAAAACGCATTGTTAAATGAGAATGGAGAAGTAAAAAGCTGTCAGATTCATATTTTAGAACAGCAGCAGAGGCCATGAAAAGATCTACTTTATTCTAGTTTGAAATTTAATCCAAGAAATAATATTCAACATTTTAGTTTAGGTATTACAGTATATAATCAATGAGTTAATGGGGACGGTGGTCTTGGGGAGAGGATCTACCCTTTGATCCATATGTTGGATTAAAAATCCACCGCTGGTGCCCAGCAGTGTGGCTCAGTGGTTGAGCACTCACATATGAACCAAGTCACCAGTTGGATTCCAGGTTGGGGGCTTCATCCCCAGTAGGGGGCGTGCAGGAGGCAGCTGACTGATGTTTCTCATCAATGTTTCTCTACCTCATCCTTCTCTCTTTCTCTCTCTCTAAAATCCATAAAAACATTTTTAAAAAATCCACCGCTGATAATGATTTCTTGAGCACCCCTTGAGTACGCGTGACTTGGTCCTTGCTCTTTCTCACTGAGTAAACTCAAACTGACTTGTGATGTGGTTTTATCTACAGTACACCTACAACTATCTTTCTGTAAATGTCTCCTAATTTTAAGTTATAGGCAGAATTATGTGGGGAAAAAGATACTATATCAAAATTATAAACAAGTATTACCCAATTATAAGACCCAGACAAAACAGTAATATGTAATTAAACAGTAATTAGAAAAATTTGCTAAAACTTTGAACTAAGATATTATTACACTTCTAACGTTTGAAATAGGGAAAAATGCAGTCAATTTAAGAAAAAAACAAACATTTTAAGCCATTTAAACTACCAGCCATATTTCCAAAGTACATAGTTTATATTAGGAAAGACCTTAGCTGCATTAACTTTACACTAGATAATATACTTTTAAAACAGCAAAAAGAAGAGATAATATACTTGTCACAACTTTGAAGAAACTTCTGTTTTGTTTCCAGGAATGCCTTCTTTTCCCCTCCTCTTTTTTTTTTTTTTTTTTTTTTTTTTTTTGAGGGGGCGGGGGGTAAGGCAGCTACTGGTAAATTTTTTAAAAAGTTAAGCCGTATTCCTTAATGTGAACGGCATATTTGATCTCCTACATGCTAATATTCTCTCAACCCCATTGCGCTGTTAGGATGTCTTCAAATAATCTGATAATCTGTCTTTAAAGTTTCACCCTAATTGAAGAGTCCATTTTTAAAACGTCTTGGCACCATTCAATCGCTTATGAGATGAGCAAGGTCTCTTTCCTCTCGACTTGACATTTTTTACAGGACGCAACACTGTATGTGTCATGTTTGCTGTCCAATATTGCAAAGGTAGATTTTTTTTGTTTTCGTTCAGTCTGAACATGTCTCCACTATCCTTGCACAGCTGCCCTCTTCCCATCACAAACCAACTCACCCCTCAAGCCTCTCTGCAAGTTTTAAACTTTGTTTCCTTTGGGGTTCTTTCTGCCCAAGCGCTACTAATAATATCCATGAGACAAAGAGCTGCGCCGTTGGGTTCGCGGGATGCAAAATTGGAGGTGTGAAAACAAACAAAGCACTCCAATGTGAGACTCAAGATGATGACAGTGATGCTGGCAACATGGAAAAAAATATTATAAAAGCCTAAGACCCCAGAGACATTTTCCTAGATCGCTCCCTCCGTCCACGGCCACCCCCGCGCACCGGGGAGAAAGAAGAGGGCGCTCCGGCCCCGGGACGGGGGCCGCCCGGCCGCCCCGCGAAGCCCCCCGCCCCCGCCCCGAGCCCGCTCACCGCTTCACGCGGATGATCTGGTCCCGCATGGGCTTGATGTCCTGGAAGCTCTGCTGGTTGACGAGGCTGTAGACGAGGATGAAGCCCTGGCCGTTCTTGATGTACAGGTCCCGCATGGACGCGAACTGCTCCGTGCCCGCCGTGTCCAGGATCTCCAGCACCGACGGCGACGAGTCCACCTCGATCTCCTTGCGGTAGAAGTCCTCGATGGTGGGGTCGTATTTCTCGATGAAGGTGCCGGTCACGAACTGCACGGTCAGGGCGGATTTGCCGACCCCGCCCGAGCCCAGCACCACCACTTTGTACTCGCGCATCGTCCCTCCGCGGCCGTCGCCGCCGCCGCCGCCCGCGACATAGACCTACGCCCGCCGCGCTGCGTCCCTGGACCCTGCCCCGGCGGCCCACCCCGCCGCCTGACGCGGCCGCTCCCGCCTCGCTGCCGCTGCAGCCCCCCGGGCGCCGGCGGAGGGGGCGGCGGGCATGGGCCGAGCCGAGCGGCAATGCGGCTCCGCAGGCGCCTGCGGGCACTGAGAGCGCACAGCGAGTGGGAGCCGCCGGAGCCGCCGGAGCCGCCGGCCCGCAGTGCTGTCCTCCCGCCCCGCCCCTCGCGCCTCCACGCCCAGCTCTCCGCCGGCCGCCGCCGCCGCTTTCCCCGGCGCCGGAGCGCGCGCCCGAGCCCACGCTCCAGCCGCAGCGCTGCCGGGGGCGGGGCTCGGCATCCAGGGGCGGGGCCCCGGCGGCGCAGCCCCGCCCCCGCTCTCCCGTCGCCTAGGCGACCGGCCGCGCGCTCCCGGGAGGCTCTGCGCGGGGCGGAAGCCTCTGCCCGCACTTAGGTAAACAACCACCTCTGCCACTCAACAACCTCCTGGCCCGCACTCCCTGGCCCGCCGCTGGGCGGGCGTACTGAGCGTGCGCAGTTCGTCCGCCTGCGCCGGGAACCGCGCCAACCTGAGAATCCCACGCTCAGAATTTGGCGGGGACAAGAGGTTAGAGAGGGACCGGAGCAGCCTCCAGCAGTGTCTAAGGAGAGACGGACAAGGTCCAAAAGGCGGCCTTGGCATGAGGGTCTTTCCCGACACGACCCAGTCTGTCAGCATGCCGGAGAGCTTGAATTTTAAGTTGTATAAACACAGCGAGCTTTGTTTAAGGGGCCGAAGATAAGTACAATAAAATTAAGCGTTGTTTTAAGGGTCAGGACATTGAGTGAGAGGTGACAGATCACTGCAATCCATGCCGAGACGAAGGCCAGAGACTAAGAAAACCCGGCCCACGCCCGGGGACGTCGCCGGGAATCGGGCCACCTTCCCCCAGCCCCGCCTTCTTCAGCGCTGGGCTGAAATGGAGCCCTTCCCACGCCCTGTCAACAGTGGGCGTTTGGAAAACCGGGAGCGCGGAGCCCCGAACCGCAGGAAAGGGCCTCAGGGCGCCTCATAGTAACAGCCAGCTAGGAGACCAGTAGGAAGCTGGGGTTCATTCCAGCCAACCAGACCGCGTCTCCGGACCCCGTGCTACCGTCCTTGGCCAATAGAGGTTCGCTTCGTACCACGTGTTTCCCATGCCCCCTCTCCCGCCGCCCATAGGGGGAAAACCGCTAGTGGCAGGAACAGCCGGCCCACCTCCCACTGCCAGGCCAGGCGGGGCGTTTGCTCCTGCGCGTGCGCTGCCAGCCAATCGTAGGTGAGCTGACGAATGACGAAGCTCGAGCTGAGCCAACCAGAATTCGCGATTCCCCTGCCACCAAGGGCGGGGGAGTGAGGAGACAGCCCCAGGGCTAGCAGGGTTTGGGAGGAGTCCGAGGCTGAGGACCTGGAGCAAGATGCTTTTCAGGCGAGAATGGTGAATGCCGCTTTTAACTCTGTCTCCGCGGCATCCTACCTAAATGACGAGCATGAAAATAGTGCTGAGGGCTGTGGGCTGAACTGTGGGATGAATGGAGAAAACAGGGACTTTTGTCTGCAGGGTGAGGCGTTTTTCCGTGCTTCGGGAGACGTACTGCAGCAGTTGCATGGGTCCTCCGTGCGTCCCTCCTACAGTTCAGTTCTAAAACGTACCTTCTGTTTCTCTGTATTGCTAGATGTTAATTACACACTCTCTTACCCATAACGTCAAATTTAGAAGTTATAGCCCCAAGTATTTTGGATTATATTTTGTAATTGTTACTGAATTTACCTTCCGTAAATGATGTCCTTCTCAAACTAGTCTGCATTCATCCATTGCTGAGTCACATTTCTTGGGAACGGTACGTTTCTATAGTTCTGATGTTTTATCATGGCATACCTCTTCTCTCTTCCTCACAAGGTCGTCGTGTAGAGGGGATTCTGATCTGAGTTCCCTGAAAAAACAGGTGTTCTTTTATCATCTTTTCTGTCACTTATCAAAACTTCTACATAGATGCACTCCAGTTTGGCAGTGCCCTTTTTCGATCCATTATATTAGAATGGATAACTTACATTTGCATTATCTATCTATAGTATAACACACACCGAATTTTTGTTTAAAATAATGGAGGGCACGTGTCTTGTCAAAATATGTAGTAGAATATAACTCGATCATTATTTCTTGATTATATCACATACGAAAAGTTATATCTGAGCTGCCAGAATTGGCAGTGAAGGCAATTTGCAAAAGAATGTTTTAAGATAATTGAAACTAAAGATGATCTGATATTTTATTCTAATCTAGTAATGTGAATAAGTGAATTAAAATTAAGAGAGCTCACATAGATATGAAATGAAGCTTCATATCTGAGCTTTTTTTTTGGAAGGGATGTTTCAAGAGATTTTATAGAAGAACACAGTGTTCACCTAGGTTTATAGAAGCCTTACATTTTGTGTAAAACATGGGTGTTCATTTGTGGTTACGTTAGCTTAGTAACAGCTACAAACAAACCAACAGGCTGTCTGTCTCTTTTAAAATTCAAATTGTGCATTGTGATAAGAATTTCTTAGGCTTTTTTGGGGGGGTGGACGGGGGAGGTGTTAACAGAGTTAAGAAACACCAAATTTTCTCTCTGTTTAGTACCTGGGTAGTGCCTTGCATTCCAGTGCAGCTGAAAAGCCTTTCACTTTGCAAGGAGTAAAGGTGCAGGTTCAGTGATTTTTACTTTATTTTAGAAATTTGCATTTGGGTTCTGGGTCCAGATGTAAGCTTAAGCAACTGGTTTCATTTCTTCCGTCCCTAGAAGGTGAGCAGCTCTGGATTGTAGTGCATCTGATAGAAGTTCACACACACACACACACACAGTGAGTTTGCTCCTTTGTCACTCCACTTAGGACAACAGAGAATAAGAGAAGTTTTTGACCTTTCTCCGGCTATCTTCCCTGACCTTTCATCAATGCCGATTTCCTTGATCAGGAGAAGTGTAGAGACTGTAGGCCTCAGGATAGTTGTACCTCTTATGTCTGATACTAACAGGCCTCAATTTTCATTCACAATGCTGCCATAAAAGTGGGTTTTTCTCACTAAGAGGCAAAAGAAAGGTAAGTAGAAACACATACATTGTCTTGTATGGTGGTCTGTATGTGAAATGCTGGTTGAAGGTTTAGCTGCTATAAGAAAGGATGTCAGGACATGTAGAGAATTTTGAAGATTTGGGTGGGAGTTGGGTGTCTGTCTCCCTATCCTTAATCATCCCCAGCATGAATGTTCTATTTTGAGAGTAACCTAATAAAAATTTGTGTCTACATGTTTATGAGAAAGACAAGATAAAAATGAGATGAAATGAAATCGAATTTTCCCCAAGAGCTGTAAATCTGTATGATTGTGAAGACTTAACACTGTACAGTGACACTTCAGGGTCTCTAGCTTCTGAAGTGCATTGCTGGGAGAGGAAAAAAAGAAAAACTTTATTCCTCTTCTCCCCACTGAATCTGAGAGTTATTTCACTTATGCCCAGATACCCCCAACTATCATACTTCTGTTACCATGGAAACCCAGCTCCTTTCTTTGTATCTGTGAAAGATGTTAGAAAAGGTGGAGTGAAATACATGGTGTTCTGGGATGTTCTAATGACAGCAAGAAGCAAGTATGCAAATAATTCAATATATACAAGTTAGTAGAGGGTGTTTATAATATGACCAGTGCTTTTTGGCTATAAGATTCTGATTCCTATTGCTTCCTATTAAAGCTTACATATTTCTGATTAACCATAAAGGGAAAGGACAAGTCAAGTACATTTAGCACTTATGAAATGCTGCTGGCAATTATAAAAAGAAGAAAAGACATGTTCTTGGCCTCAGAAGTTCCTAATGCTGCTCAGAAACAGACGTATATATGAAAAGTGGAAAGGAAGCGACAAAAATGTGTTTCCCTTTTGAAAATGTGATATGTCTCAGAATTTTTGCAAAGAAAAAGAATTAGAATGCAGAAAGTAAGTGAGTTTGTAAAAAGTCAGTGAAATAAACCTTTTGGTTGTCAAAGTAAATGTTTTAATAGGCTATTTGAAGCAAAAATAGTTTTTTTTCTGTAGGAAAAGGCTTAATGAGTAAAATATCAAGAGAAAAAAAGGAAAGGATTGAAGAATCTTAACAGCTTGAAGGTTCTGAAGAAAATAGGGTTTAGTGTGGTTCATGTAACATAGCAGAAGAGTTGGAAAATGTTGCTTGCATACCCAGCAGTTTCCTGTTCTTTTTGCCCCTCTACCCCCAAATGGGATGCATCAGGATTGATCATTAATAGCAGTGCTTTCTTCTCTGCCCACGGTAAGCCCAAAAGTAGGCATTTGACTCAATTCTTGCCATTGGAGCTAGAGGAGGCTGCTGGGCCTGGGAGATATCTGGGATTCTGACAAGAGTGAGTAAATATCCCCATTTTTGACATCACTTTCTTATTTTCTTCTTTGTACTTTGGAGTATGAGAATGTGGTCACCATCTTTGGGCTGTAATGCTTTATGGCTGAGAATAAAAACCAACAAGCTTTGGATGACTAAGGAGAAGGGTGTGAAGAACACAGGTCCTGAGTGACAACATTGAACTGTCAAACCAATACTAGAAATGCCCACTTTTAAACTATGGCTAAGTAAATAGCTAGTCTATTTTAGACTTTTGGTTTAAGTCTGTTAGTTTAAGTCAAGCATGTCAAACTCGCAAGTTTGACATGCTTGGTAAGTCCATTAGATTTTCTGCATCTTGCAGTTAAATACCTCCCAACTGTTACAGAAAGTGTGAGAAATTCCCGACAAAATGGTGTTTTAAAAAATCAGCAAGCATTTACGAGCACTTTTATTCTACTAATATCCTAAATGGTATTTCAAAGACATTGTAGTATTTACTCCATACTTACTATGTATATCATTCTAGGCTCTGAGGATACAACCAAATGCAATTAGCCAAACGTGCTTGCATTCTAAGAGGAGACAGACATTTATAAACAGAAGAGACAGACATTAAGCAACTGATTACACATTTGCATTACAAAGATGTATAATAACTGTAATATAAATAAAATATTAGAAAATATGTAACTAATTGAATAAAAATTACAAAAACAAACACCAAGTACATGTTAATATTATGTATTGTTTATACATGAATTACTACAGGTCAGGTGATACAGAGAGTAAACAGGAGTGGGTTTAGTCAAGTAAAGCTGTCTGAAGGAAATTAATATGGAGCCATGTTT